CTCTGATCACACAACTCTTCAAGGTGACACCTCTCCGATCACACACAACTCTTCAAGGTGACAACTCTCTGATCACACACACACTCTTCAGGTGACACTCTCTGATCACACAACTCTTCAAGGTGACACTTCACTCTCCGATCACACACAACTCTTCAATGGTGACACTCTCTGATCACAACACTCTTCAGGTGACACTCTCTGATCACAACAGCTCTTCAGGTGACACTCCTCTGATCACACACAACTCTTCAAGTTGACACTCTCTGATCACACACAGCTCTTCAAGGTGACACTCTCTGATCACACACTCTTCAAGGTGACACTCTGATCACACACTCTTCAAGGTGACACTCTCTGATCACACAACTCTTCAAGGTGACACTCTCTGATCACACACTCTTCAAGGTGACACTCTCCGATCACACACAACTCTTCAAAGGTGACACTCTCTGATCACACAGCTCTTCAAGGTGACACTCTCTGATCACACACTCTCAAGGTGACACTCTCTGATCACACAGCTCTTCAAGGTGACAACTCTTCTGATCACACACTCTTCAAGGTGACACTCTCTGATTCACAACAGCTCTTCAAGGTGACACTCTCTGATCACACCACTCTTCAAGGTGACACTCTCTGATCACAACACTCTTCAAGGTGACACTCTCTGATCACACAACTCTTCAAGGTGACACTCTCTGATCACACAGCTCTTCAAGGTGACACTCTCTGATCACACACTCTTCAAGGTGACACTCTCTGATCACACACAACTCTTCAAGGTGACACTCTCTGATCACACACTCTTCAATGTGACACTCTCTGATCACACACTCTTCAAGGTGACACTCTCTGATCACACACAGCTCTTCAAGGTGACACTCTCTGATCACACAACTCTTCAAGGTGACACTCTCTGATCACACACAGCTCTTCAAGGTGACACTCTCTGATCACACACTCTTCAAGGTGACACCTCTGATCACACACAGCTCTTCAAGGTGACACTCTCTGATCACACACTCTTCAAGGTGACACTCTCTGATCACACAGCTCTTCAAGGTGACACTCTCTGATCACACAACTCTTCAAGGTGACACTCTCTGATCACACACTCTTCAAGGTGACACTCTCTGATCACACAACTCTTCAAGGTGACACTCTCTGATCACACAACTCTTCAAGGTGACACTCTCTGATCACACACAGCTCTTCAAGGTGACACTCTCTGATCACAACACTCTTCAAGGTGACACTCTCCGATCACACACAACTCTTCAAGGTGACACTCTCTGATCACACACTCTTCAAAGGTGACACTCTCTGATCACACAACTCTTCAAGGTGACACTCTCTGATCACACAGCTCTTCAAGGTGACACTCTCTGATCACACAACTCTTCAAGGTGACACTCTCTGATCACACACACTCTTCAAGGTGACACTCTCTGATCACACAACTCTTCAAGGTGACACTCTCTGATCACACATTCTTCAAGGTGACACTCTCTGATCACACACTCTTCAAGGTGACACTCTCTGATCACACAACTCTTCAAGGTGACACTCTCTGATCACACACAGCTCTTCAAGGTGACACTCTCTGATCACACACTCTTCAAGGTGACACTCTCTGATCACACACAACTCTTCAAGGTGACACTCTCTGATCACACACTCTTCAAGGTGACACTCTCTGATCACACACTCTTCAGGTGACACTCCTCTGATCACACACTCTTCAAGGTGACACTCTCTGATCCAACACTCTTCAAGGTGACACTCTCTGATCACACACTCTTCAAGGTGACACTCTCTGATCACACAACTCTTCAAGGTGACACTCTCTGATCACACAACTCTTCAAGGTGACACTCTCTGATCACACACAACTCTTCAAGGTGACACTCTCTGATCACACTCTTCAAGGTGACACTCTCTGATCACACAACTCTTCAAGGTGACACTCTCTGATCACACACTCTTCAAGGTGACACTCTCTGATCACACACAGCTCTTCAAGGTGACACTCTCTGATCACACACTCTTCAAGGTGACACTCTCCGATCACACACAACTCTTCAAGGTGACACTCTCTGATCACACACTCTTCAAGTGACACTCTCTTGATCACACACTCTTCAAGGTGACACTCTCTGATCACACAGCTCTTCAAGGTGACACTCTCTGATCACACAACTCTTCAAGGTGACACTCTCTGATCACACACACTCTTCAAGGTGACACTCTCTGATCACACAACTCTTCAAGGTGACACTCTCTGATCACACATTCTTCAAGGTGACACTCTCTGATCACACACTCTTCAAGGTGACACTCTCTGATCACACACTCTTCAAGGTGACACTCTCTGATCACACACAGCTCTTCAAGGTGACACTCTCTGATCACACAGCTCTTCAAGGTGACACTCTCTGATCACACACTCTTCAATGGTGACACTCTCTGATCACACACAACTCTTCAAGGTGACACTCTCTGATCACAACACTCTTCAAGGTGACACTCTCTGATCACACACTCTTCAAGGTGACACTCTCTGATCACACACAGCTCTTCAAGGTGACACTCTCTGATCACACAACTCTTCAAGGTGACACTCTCTGATCACACACAGCTCTTCAAGGTGACACTCTCTGATCACACACTCTTCAAGGTGACACTCTCTGATCACACACAGCTCTTCAAGGGTGACACTCTCTGATCACACACTCTTCAAGGTGACACTCTCTGATCACCACAGCTCTTCAAGGTGACACTCTCTGATCACACAACTCTTCAAGGTGACACTCTCTGATCACACACTCTTCAAGGTGACACTTCTCTGATCACACACTAACTCTTCAAGGTGCACTCTCTGATCACACACTCTTCCAAGGTGACACTCTCTGATCACACACAGCTCTTCAAGGTGACACTCCTGATCACACACTCTTCAAGGTGACAACTCTCCGATCACACACAACTCTTCAAGGTGACACTCTCTGATCACACACTCTGCTCACACTCTCTGATCACACACTCTCAAGGTGACACTCTCTGATCACACAGCTCTTCAAGGTGACACTCTCTGATCACACAACTCTTCAAGGTGACACTCTTCTGATCACACACAGCTCTTCAAGGTGACACTCTCTGATCACAACACTCTTCAAGGTGACACTCTCTGATCACACACAGCTCTTCAAGGTGACACTCCTCTGATCACACACTCTTCAAGGTGACCACTCTCTGATCACACACAACTCTTCAAGGTGACACTCTCTGATCACCACACTCTTCAAGGTGACACTCTCTGATCACACAACTCTTCAAGGTGACACTCTCTGAGCACACACAACTCTTCAAGGTGACACTCTCTGCTCACACACACTCTGCTCACACTCTCTGCTCACACACTCTTCAAGTGACACTCTCTGATCACACACTCTTCAAGGTGACACTCTCTGATCACACACAACTCTTCAAGGTGGACACTCTCTGATCACACACAACTCTTCCAAGGTGACACTCTCTGATCACACACAACTCTTCAAGGTGACACTCTCTGATCACACTCTTCAAGGTGACACTCTCTGATCACACACAACTCTTCAAGGTGACACTCCTCTGATCACACACAACTCTTCAAGGTGACACTCTCTGATCACACTCTTCAAGGTGACACTCTCTGATCACACGCAACTCTTCAAGGTGACACTCTCTGATCACACACACTCTTCAAGGTGACACTCTCTGATCACACAACTCTTCAAGGTGACACTCTCTGATCACACACAACTCTTCAAGGTGACACTCTCTGATCACACACACTCTTCAAGGTGACACTCTCTGATCACACAACACTCTTCAAGGTGACACTCTGATCCACACACTCGTCAAGGGACACTCTCTGATCACACACTCTTCAAGGTGACACTCTCTGATCACACACAACTCTTCAAAGGTGACACTCCTCTGATCACACACACTCTTCAAGGTGACACTCTCTGATCACACAGCTCTTTCAAGGTGACACTCTCTGATCACACACACTCTTCAAGGTGACACTCTCTGATCACACACACCTTCTTCAAGGTGACACTCTCTGATCACACACCACTCTTCAAGGTGACACTCTCTGATCACACAACTCTTCAAGGTGACACTCTCTGATCACACACAACTCTTTCAAGGTGGACACTCTCTGATCACACACTCTTCAAGGTGACACTCTCTGATCACACACTCTTCAAGGTGACACTCTCTGATCACACACTCTTCAAGGTGACACTCTCTGATCACACACTCTTCAAGGTGACACTCTCCGATCACACACTCTTCAAGGTGACACTCTCCGATCACACACTCTTCAAGGTGACACTCTCTGATCACACACAACTCTTCAAGGTGACACTCTCTGATCACACAACTCTTCAAGGTGACACTCTCTGATCACACAGCTCTTCAAGGTGACACTCTCTGATCACACACACTCTTCAAGGTGACACTCTCTGATCACACACACTCTTCAAGGTGACACTCTCTGATCACACACACTCTTCAAGGTGACACTCTCTGATCACACAACTCTTCAAGGTGACACTCTCTGATCACACACAACTCTTCAAGGTGACACTCTCTGATCACACACTCTTCAAGGTGACACTCTCTGATCACACACTCTTCAAGGTGACACTCTCTGATCACACACTCTTCAAGGTGACACTCTCTGATCACACACTCTTCAAGGTGACACTCTCCGATCACACACTCTTCAAGGTGACACTCTCCGATCACACACTCTTCAAGGTGACACTCTCTGATCACACACAACTCTTCAAGGTGACACTCTCTGATCACACAACTCTTCAAGGTGACACTCTCTAGTCGCCAGTTTGTAAAGCACTTTGAGCTGCACGTGTTGTATGAAAAGTGCAGTATCAATAAAGCTTTATTATTATTAATATACTTCCTAACGGCCCACCTGTTTTCAGGTGAACCCCCGCGACCGCCCCTCCGTCAGCTCCGTCCTCAGGCGGCCCTTCCTGGAGAAGCTCATCAGCAAACACCTGGAGCCTCAGGTAACACATCTTCACACACACACACACACACACACACACACACACACACACACACACACACACACACACACACACACACACACACACACACACACACACACACACACACACCCCCCTTCACTCTGTCAGGATACTGGTGTGAGGACCCAGACGCAGTACAGAAGGGAATCAAGAAGTACTAAAGGTCCCCTATTATTTAAAATCCACTTCTTCATGTCTCTTCTTCATCAACATGTGTCCCCTCTTCTTCATGTCTCTTCTACATCAACATGTGTCCCCTCTTCTTCATGTCTCTTCTACATCAACATGTGTCCCCTCTTCTTCATGTCTCTTCTACATCAACATGTGTCCCCTCTTCTTCATGTCTCTTCTACATCACATGTGTCTCCCTCTTCTTCATGTCTCTTCATTCATCAACATGTGTCCCCTCTTCTTCATGTCTCTTCTACATCAACATGTGTCCCCTCTTCTTCATGTCTCTTCTTCTACATCAACATGTGTCCCCTCTTCTTTTCATGTCTCTCTTCACACTTGTCCCCCTCTGCTTCATGTCTTATACATCAACATGTGTCCCCTCTTCTTCTTCATGTCTCTTCTTCATCACATGTGTCCCCTCTTTCTTCATGTCTCTTCTTCATCAACATGTGTCCCCTCTGTGTAAAGAGACTCTGAAAGTTTCAGGAAACAAAGTGTTGTGTGTGTGTGTGTGTGTGTGTGTGTTGTGTGTGTGTGTGGTGTGTGTGTGTGTGTGTGGTGTGGTGTGTGTGTGTGTGTGTGTGTGTGTGTGTGTGTGTGTGTGTGTGTGTCGGTGTGTGTGTGTGTGTGTGTGTGGTGTGTGTGTGTGCGTGCAGGTGATGCAGGAGGAGTTCAGCCACACGGTGCTGCATAGAGACAGAGCTGCACGTGAAACAGGTGACACACATTAACGTTAAAACAATAGTAGTAATATTACTGTGTAGAAATACTCTCGTTCAAGTATTACAATATCTGCGTACACTCTCAAAGTGTTTGTGCACCCCCTGGTGGTTTGTCCCTGAACAGCAGGTTCTGTCTGTTGCTATATTTCTTGCTCTTTTTTTACAACCTAAATCCTCTTATTGTGATTTATGTACATTACATTACATGTACCTACTTGAAGATTGAGGTACTTCATTACATTACATTACATGTCACTTGTTAGACGCTTTTATCCAAAGCGACTTACATACTCAATACTGTGGACAATCCCCACAGGAGCACTTTGGGGTGAAGTGTCTCAGGGACACAACGACATGCTGACTGCAGTGGGGTTTGAACCTGTGACCCCCTGATCCGAACGCCAACACACAACCCACTGCACCACACGCCTCCAATGTACACACCAATAAACAGCAAATCAAATGTCCTGCATGTGTTAGCCTCAGTGGTGCAATGTAACAAAGTACACGTACTTAAATACACTTCTGAGGTACTTGTACTTTAAATGAGCATTTTCCTTTTATGCTACTTTGTACTTTTTACTCCACTACATTTATCTGTCATCTTTTTACAGATTCAGATTATTAGCTAATACATAATATTTAATAACACTTTCATGATCAATCATTATAAAACATATCATATATATTATTCTGAAATGGACCAATCTGCACAATGACTACTTTTACTGTCGCTACTTTCACTATATTTTGATGAGAATACTTTTATACTTTCACTTGAGGAACATTTTGAATGCAGGACTTTTACTGTAACAGAGTATTCCTACACTCTGGTACTTCTACTTTTACTCAAGTACAAGATCTGAGTACTTCTACTTTTACTCAAGTACAAGACCTGAGTACTTCTACTTTTACTCAAGTACAAGACCTGAGTACTTCTACTTTTACTCAAGTACAAGACCTGAGTACTTCTACTTTTACTCAAGTACAAGACCTGAGTACTTCTACTTTTACTCAAGTACAAGATCTGAGTACTTCTACTTTTACTCAAGTACAAGATCTGAGTACTTCTACTTTTACTCAAGTACAAGATCTGAGTATTTCTACTTTTACTCAAGAACAAGATCTGAGTACTTCTACTTTTACTCAAGTACAAGATCTGAGTACTTCTACTTTTACTCAAGTACCATATCTGAGTACTTCTACTTTTACTCAAGTACAATATCTGAGTACTTCTACTTTATTAGTCCATCTAAAGTGGAACCTGTTATATTGTGTTGAACGTGAGGCTCTCCTGTTCTCCAGAGAGGAAACCGAGTCGACCTGAAGCCGTGAAGAAGAAACTTCCTGCCAAACCCTCCTGGAGATGCCCCCCCGCCGCACAGAAAGTAATACCAATAAATACATAAAATACATTAAAAGAATAAATAAATAGTAATAGTTGTCAATAAGCACCAATACCATTTATTTCCCATAAGAAACATTTTGTAGCCAAAAATAACCCAATGACAGAGCCGGTAATAACTCTTTCTAAATGAAGGTATGACCTCCTGCTCGACGAAAACTATAACCTGTTCCTGTCAGTCGGGGTTTATTCTAAACGATGTCTGCTTCTGGACTGAACATCTCCAGGACTCTCAGGCCCCGTCCACACGGAGACGATATCAGTTGTATCCGCTACAGTTCTCTATCGTATAGACGGGTCGTCCACACGAGGCCGACACGGAGCCGTGGCTTCGGAGCCCGAATCCGATACACTTTGAAACCGGCTCCCAAGGTGGGTAGGTCTGAGGACGACACGCTTGCGGCTCCGTGTGTACGCCCTATACGATCATTTCCTGAATCGATGACGGCATAGCCCCGCCTCTCCCCACCTCTCCTGCTCACCCCGCGTCATTGCTGATGCGTTTCGCCAACAACAACAACAACAATGGCGGATCACAGGGTTGCGTTCGTGCTCCAGACGCTACTGACCATGATACAGATGTTAGTGCCTACAGCTCCTCCATCACAACCATCAGCAACAATATCCGCCATCTTCTACCTTGTTTGTTTGTTTATTCCTTATGCCCATGCTCGGAGGTCTTCTTCGCTGCTTTTGGTGTATTTTGTGGCGGAAGTACAGCGCCACTTACAGGCCCGGCATATGTACTACAGCGCCTCCAGCGGGTCGAGCGGTCTCGTGCGGACGGACACGTCTCCGTTTCGTCTCCGTGTGGACGGACACGTCTCCGTTCGTCTCCGTGTGGACGGACACGTCTCCGTTTCGTCTCCGTGTGGACGGACACGTCTCCGTTTCGTCTCCGTGTGGACGGGGCCTAAATCCCATTGCAATTCAAATGTCCCTGTTATTAATTGATCACTGAAATCTCAGACTTTTCCTCATAATTGAAGCGCATTTCCTCCAAAACCTTTGAAAGTGTTTGCATTCATCAGAAATAAATGTGCATTCAGTCGAGGGACTCTCAGAGCTCTAATATGCACGGTGACTCTTCAGAAGCTAACTACTTTTATATTTAGACCCTTCTGTTCTTATATCTGTTCTAACTCTTGATCTGTCTGATCGCAGCCTCTCCATCGAAGAGCTGCAGAACCACAGAACCAAAGAGCTGCAGAACCACAGAACCAAAGAGCTGCAGAACCACAGAACCAAAGAGCTGCAGAACCACAGAACCAAAGGTGAGTCAAAGTCTGCAGGAACGTTGAGCATTTGAATGAACATGTTAAATATATGGATCTAAAGGGTAACGTCTTCTCTGTCGCTGGAGCAGGTTCAACGGGCAGAAAGCAGTGGGACAGTACGAGCAGCACTACGCCCAGCTGGAGGCCTTCAGGAGGAGGGATGCCCTTCCTCCTCCTCCTCCTCCTCCTCCTCCTCCTCCTCCTCCTCAGGAGAGAGAGAGGGAGCGAAGTGAAGAGCAAACTGTGGAACCGTTCCAGCTGTGAGTTTTGAATATTTGATTATTGTTTGTTTTTTAAATGTAAAACAACAAAATATAAATGTTCCACTTTTCTAAATGTACCTATGATGATGTCATACTTATTAATATATGGGCTCTAACACATTTATTTAGTATGTGTTTATTCTCTGAAAGCTACACTAAACACAAACCTATTCTGTTTGGTATTGATGGATTGAATGTAGAAGCATCACATCATTTTAGTTTTTCTAAATCTGTTTACATTTCCTTATTACAGGTCCGACTTTTTAGTTGTTGTCATGTTCAATTAAAAAGTGGGTAATTCTTCTTAGTTTTATTGTTGTTGTTGTTGTTGTTGTTTTGTCTACATTAAGATTAATACTGAAGAATGTTTGACATTTTGAGGACTAGAGCTTTGGTCTGGTTTTTGGAGCTTATATTGTCATCATGACTTGTGTGTGTGTGTGTGTGTGTGTGTGTGTGTGTGTGTGTGTGTGTGTGTGTGTGTGTGTGTGTGTGTGTGTGTGTGTGTGTGTGTGTGTGTGTGTGTGTGTGTGTGTGTGTGTGTGTCAGTGTGGCTGCAGCTCGTCATGAATACCTGCAGCGGCGACACGACGCCAACCAGTACAAGCTGCGAGCGGAGAAAACAGCTGGTGAGAGAAGCGTCAGAGCGAAGTTCATATTTCTTTATCATTAAATGAAAGATGCTACCCACAATGCCACTACCCACAATGCCACTACCCACACTGCCACTACCCACACTGCCACTACCCACATTGCCACTACCCACACTGCCTCTACCCACACTGCCTCTACCCACTCTGCCACTACCCACTCTGCCTCTACCCACTCTGCCACTACCCACACTGCCACTACCCACACTGCCTCTACCCACACTGCCTCTACCCACACTGCCTCTACCCACACTGCCACTACCCACTCTGCCACTACCCACTCTGCCACTACCCACACTGCCTCTACCCACACTGCCTCTACCCACACTGCCTCTACCCACACTGCCTCTACCCACTCTGCCACTACCCACTCTGCCTCTACCCACTCTGCCTCTACCCACACTGCCACTACCCACTCTGCCTCTACCCCACACTGCCACTACCCACATTGCCACTACCCACACTGCCTCTACCCACTCTGCCACTACCCACACTGCCTCTACCCACACTGCCACTACCCACTCTGCCACTACCCACACTGCCTCTACCCACACTGCCTCTACCCACTCTGCCACTACCCACTCTGCCTCTACCCACTCTGCCTCTACCCACACTGCCACTACCCACATTGCCACTACCCACACTGCCTCTACCCACACTGCCTCTACCCCACTCTGCCACTACCCACTCTGCCTCTACCCACTCTGCCACTACCCACACTGCCACTACCCACACTGCCTCTACCCACACTGCCTCTACCCACTCTGCCACTACCCACTCTGCCTCTACCCCACTCTGCCTCTACCCACACTGCCACTACCCACATTGCCACTACCCACACTGCCTCTACCCACTCTGCCTCTACCCACTCTGCCTCTACCCACACTGCCTCTACCCACACTGCCACTACCCACTTTGCCTCTACCCCACACTGCCACTACCCACTCTGCCTCTACCCACACTGCCTCTACCCACTCTGCCTCTACCCACACTGCCTCTACCCACACTGCCCACTACCCACTCTGCCACTACCCACACTGCCTCTACCCACTCTGCCTCTACCCACTCTGCCTCTACCCACACTGCCACTACCCACTTTGCCTCTACCCACACTGCCACTACCCACTCTGCCTCTACCCACACTGCCTCTACCCACTCTGCCACTACCCACACTGCCACTACCCACTTTGCCTCTACCCACACTGCCTCTACCCACACTGCCACTACCCACTCTGCCACTACCCACACTGCCCACTACCCCACTTTGCCACTACCCACACTGCCACCACCCCACTTTGCCTCTACCCACACTGCCTCTACCCACTCTGCCACTACCCACACTGCCACTACCCACTTTGCCTCTACCCACACTGCCTCTACCCCACTGCCACTACCCACTCTGCCACTACCCACTCTGCCTCTACCCACACTGCCACTACCCACTCTGCCACTACCCACAGTGCCACTACCCACACTGCCACTACCCACACTGCCACTACCCACTTTGCCTCTACCCACACTGCCTCTACCCACACTGCCACTACCCACTCTGCCTCTACCCACACTGCCACTACCCACTCTGCCACTACCCACAGTGCCACTACCCACACTGCCACTACCCACTCTGCCACTACCCACTCTGCCACTACCCACTCTGCCACTACCCACTCTGCCACTACCCACTCTGCCACTACCCACACTGCCACTACCCCACTCTGCCACTACCCACATTGCCTCTACCCACACTGCCACTACCCACAGTGCCACTACCCACACTGCCACTACCCACTCTGCCACTACCCACACTGCCACTACCCACAGTGCCACTACCCACAGTGCCACTACCCACACTGCCACTACCCACACTGCCTCTACCCACAGTGCCACTACCCTCATTGCCCCTACCCACACTGCCACACACTGCCACTACCCACACTGCCACTCTGTGTGCTGAAATAAGCAGATCAATACAAAGTATAAATAAAATCATTTAAAACTCAAGCCGGTGCAGTGGTGACCTTTGACCTTTCTGACCTGCAGGGGCTGCGTCCGTGTACAGCGGAGCGCCACAGGAAGCCCGGGGGTCCGCAACAGGAAGTGAAACACCTGGGACTCCAACATGCTCCTGAGAACAGGAAGCAGGTGGGTTCATGTGAACTGTAAATACATCTGTCTGTCACCAAGCTTCCCCACAGAGCGGAGCAGGGGAGACGTGTTTGTGTAGGTCGACCCTGAAGGAAGCTGCTCGTTCCCTCGACAGAAAGCTACGGGATTTCTCCATAGGATTTAGGAAAATTGTAAAAAATAAGATCTGTGGAAAACGAACCTGTTTGATAAATGTTTTGTTCAGCCGGATCATCTCCACATGTCTTCCCTACTTTTATAATGTTAGAATCATAAATCTAATGTCCAGAAGCAAAATGCTAACGTGATGCTATAAAGGAACTACAGCCGAGTCCAGCAGCACGACTTCAACCTCACGCCAACTTAAAGGGGACCTATCATGCAAAATGCACTTTTGTACGTCTTTTCTACATGAATATGTGTCCCCGGTGTTCCAGGGAACTCACCAAGTGTCAGAAAACACAACCCTCTCTATTTTCCTCCATACCCAAATCTCTAAAAAAGGGGCTGCAACGGATCTGATAAAAACTGATCCAGATTTGAACACTGTCCTGACGTCAGGACGGTGGCGCTACGGCTATTGGGCCAACTCCACCAATCAGGAGGAGACAGCCACGGCCATTGCCGCTCGAAAGCGCTGGAGACGCTGTAGTACATATGCCAGGCCAGTAGGTGGTGCTGTTCTCACTGAATCTGCCCTTGCTAAAACAGAGATAGAAATGGTCAAATTGAGCAAAATGAGGCATGGCTAAAATGCATGATCTGTTTGGTATTTTGAAAAAAAAAAAGTATAAATATGCCTTATATAGGTATGGTCCTACACTATATTATTCAAATATAGCATGATAGGTCCACTTTAAGATCCATATTCAAACACACAGATTCTGAATGGTACGAGTTGAAGCGTTTGTTTGAACAGTTAGCAGGAGGCAGGTACTTGCTTTCAAGCAGAACAGGGCAAACTAACTTAGAGGAGTGTTTACGTGTTCGGCGTAATGACGTACAACGTCCTCAACTTCTGTAGTCCTATTCAGCCACTTGGTAACAACCATCGTTTTTCAGACACGTCAACTCTTCAGAAATCACCAGTGGGGTCACTGCTGATGGATTTAATGTCCTAGAACAAAACGTGATCCGTCTCTTCAATGTGTCTCAACCACAGACCTTATTTACAGATATTTTCCTAAACCCTATGGAGAGATCCCATTGGCTCTGAGACCAGGGAACAGGAAGTGGAGAAATGCTGACTCACTTCCTGGTTTTAGGACTCGTCACTGTGGCACTCTATACGAGCTGCATCGACTTCAATAAACAGAAACCGTGCAATTTCAAAGTGTAGTTTCAAAACATACACAAAACATTTCTCACATCTTCTTCTCCTCGTTGACAAAAGTATTAACTAGATATTGTAGACTGCAGTTTAAAAAGAGAGAAGCAGCTCTGCTTTTGGGCTGGAATGACTAAGTGTGTGTGTGTGTGTGTGTGTGTGTGTGTGTGTGTGTGTGTGTGTGTGTGTGTGTGTGTGTGTGTGTGTGTGTGTGTGTGTGTGTGTGTGTAGGAGTACCTGCGTCAGCTGGATGTCATCAGGCAGCAGTATCACCAGGAGATGAGACAGATGAAGCTGAGAGCTGAAGTTCAGGTACAAACATTTTAATAAAATCAAATGGAATAAAAACAACGTGTTTCCACTTCAGGCTCCAGTTAGAAGGTCATGTGTAGCATTCAGGATGTGATACAATGTGCATTTAACCTGATTGAAAAGAGGATGACCCCCCACCTTTGCTCTGTAACTTCATTTTGAACCATAATACAGCCTCAGCCACTCCTCAAACAAGGAACCTTTGTGCTGGAGAAACCCAGAGAGCCAGCTGCTCAGGTAAACCCTGACAACACACTTTATCAACAAATCAATAATATGATCACTACTCATGACACGTCCTCTGTTGTTATTGATTATATTGTCTTTGTTTTTGTATCTTGTACGGCGACCTTGAGAGCCTTGAAAGGTACCTATATTGCCCCTTTCACACCGGCGCTTTTCCAGCTCCAGCTCCGGCTCGGAGCTGGAGCTGGAAAAGCGCCGGTTTTTCCTGTTCACACCGCAGCGGCGGCGCGTCATAGCTCCGGAATGCGGTTCACTTCCAGCTCCAAAAGATTGTCGGTCCAGAGGCAAGAGCTTCGGAGCTATGACGAGGCGTCGCTTACGTCTCTTACGTCGAGGCGTGCAGGAAACCTTACTTTGACCATCCGTTCGCTGTTATTGATCATTGTGGAGATACATGGGCTGCACAGGTTGTCATGTCCGACTATCACAAGTAGAATCATAATGAAAAATACGCCGGTAAAAAGTGCCTGTAGAAAACGGCTTAGCAAGTAGTCAGTTTAGCTTCGGTTGCTATGCTAACATCACCCATGTTATACCAGAGAAACTTTCATAACAGCGTTTGTGATGCCAAACAGCGTCAATTCAGACTGACACACATTCACTTAAGGGGAACTGGGGATATGTATCAGCTGCTTGTGTGACAGTCAGACAGTGAATACTTTAGAGCCGTGTGAGCTAACCCGGAGCTAACGGGAGAATAAACTCCCGTGGAAGAGCAGCAGCACTGCAGCGGTCGCTAAATGAAACACATTAATAAACAATGAACCACGGCACTCTGGAGAAAAGTATAAGGTTGGAGAAGTCGTTATTTAATTTAATCTGGCTTCGTATGATTAAAAGCAACACGATCATCGACCCGATGCAGTCCCCGGCCCGTTGTTGTTGTGGGAGAAAATCAGCGACGTAAACTGTGACGTCATGACGCAGCAGCGGCAGCTCTGGGCGATGTGAACAGAGCGGGAGCTGAAAAGGGAAACCGGAGCTGAACCAGAAAAGCTCTCGCTCTGAGCTAGAAAGGGAAAAGCTCTGGTGTGAAAGCCGCATCTGACAATGATATCTGTGCAGCGCCATCCAGCTTTCAAGGAGACAAGGAGGCGTTGGGCGATACAAAAACACACGTAATGAATAAAAAGAGGATAACAAGTTCAGTTTAGCCATATATATCTTAAAGCGTATGTCCCTAATGTAGTACCGCACTTTCGTCAATAATGGTATTTATTTGGTCGAGTTGTGTACTTCCATTATTACAAATGTTTTCAACAATTTTACAACTCAGAGAAATGGGGCGAAGCCTGCGAGCTAGTTCAGGAAGTCAAGTCCAGCACCAAGGATACATTTATATATATATGTATATGTATATATATGTATACATATATATACATATGTATATATATATATACATATATATACATATGTATATATATATACACATACATATACACATACATATACATATATATACGGTGCAATAATTATTTCATGCTAAATGAAGCTCTGTTGCTTGGATATCACTAGATCCTGTTACAGCGTAATATAAAAGTACATAACGATTGATGTGTAAATTAGCATAATTACTAGCTAACCGCTAGCTGCTAACTGCCGCCTCGTTAATATCAAATCTATCATAATAACAATCCATTACCATGCTGTCATGAACGTGCGGTGCTGTTACGTGTACGCAAATGGACGTGCTTGATGTGAACGAGCATTTTGGGGGGCATGGTTAAAGTTGCGCATGCGCTATGAGCGCACATACGGGTACTTCTCAGGCATGCCGGGTAATCTGTGACGTTTCGCTCTCTCAAAAGTTGGGCCATTTTATCATCATGCGCGAATGAGCAACTCTCATAGGAATGAATGAGGCCCCGCCTCCCACGCTGTATCCAGTTCTTATTATACATCCATGGCTTCTCCCCATTAGTTTGAACACTGAAGTTTTTTCTCAGTGACATGAATCATGGAGCTTCTCTCCAGAAATAAAACATGCCATTATAATATGTAAGTCAGAACAAACTAACAACAATTGCTAGCGTATTAGTCTCTGACAGCATTTCCTCTTATGTCTCGGCTGCAGGACATGGAGGCAGCTCTGAGGAACATCAGAGAGGAGGGGAGGGAACTCAGAGACAAGGTAAACTAATTATTCAGCAGAGAGCTCAGGAGAGTTTCATACCTTCCAGATTGAAAACATTTGAATATTTCACGTAAAATAACACAAACGACCAGCTCTGGTTTTAGCTTTCCATTCAAAGTCATGGAAGTTTGTAAAACATTTAGTGAAGCAGCCAGACTCACACTGTGGATATTCCTGCTTTCAGTGGAGGACCGAATGGATTTTACAGCACAGTGAAGATGGAGATGTACAGATATCTGTTGGAGTTAATGTACAGGCTTCTTTATCTTCATCCATCTAATTCTACAACAGCCTTGAAACGATATTTGCTGTTTGTTTACACTAATCATCGCTGCTGCAGATACACTCTTTCCAACACCAGGAGGATACGTCCCCTCCTGACCCAGAAAGCAATGCAGGTTCTGGTCCAGGCTCTCGTCATCTCACGCCTAGACTACTGCAACTCCCTCCTGGCTGGTCTACCTGCATGTGCCATCCCACCTCTGCAGCTCATCCAGAATGCAGCGGCTCGTCTGGTCTTCAACCTTCCTAAATGTTCCCACACCACGCGCTCCTCCGCTCCCTTCACTGGCTTCCAGTAACTGCTAGAATCCACTTCAAGACACTGGTACTAGCGTACCATGCTGTGAATGGATCTGGCCCTTCCTACATCCAGGACATGGTTAAACCGTACACCCCAGCACGTGCACTCCGCTCTGCATCAGCCAAACGGCTCGCTGCACCCGCACTGCGAGGGGGACCCAAGTTCCCATCAGCAAAAACACGTGGGTTTGATATCCTGGCTCCAAAATGGTGGAATGAGCTCCCCATTGACATCAGGACAGCAGAAAGCTCACACATCTTCAGGAGCAGACTGAAGACTCATCTCTTTCGACTCCACTTCGAGCAATAGAATTGCTAACAAAGCACTTATATACTAACAAAGCACTGGCTTATCTAAAGCTAGTTGAGTAGCACTTGAAATGTTTTGGCTCTATGAAACCTGATGTACTTTTTAGGAAAGAAATGAGTAAACCCCTGACCAGATGATGAGTGTTTGTTTGTGTGTCATTTCTACAGAAAGGAATCATGTTTGAAATACGGTTAGATGATGAAGAAGAGGAAGCAGAGGAGGATCAAGCGGAGGAAGAGGGGGAGAAAGTGGGGGATGAAAGAGAAAAGCAGCAGGAGGAGGTAAGGATGTGCAAAGAGAACTGGAGGTGGGACCTCGTTCATTCCCTGTTCGAGCTGGGTCGTTTATTTAGCTCAAAATGATCCGCTGATTTACAGGCGTTTCTTTCCCAATGTGAGTCAATGGGAAAAAGTATTTTCGTGCCCATAGAGCGGAGCAGGGATGACGTGTTTGTGTAGGTCGACCCTGAAGGAAGCTGCTCGTTCCCTCGACAGAAAGCTACGGGATTTCTCCATAGGATTTAGGAAAATTGTAAAAAAATAAGATCTGTGGAAAACGAAGCTGTTTGATAAATGTTCTGTTCAGCCGGATCATCTCCACATGTCTACCCTACTTTTATAATGTTCTAATCATAAATCTAATCTCCAGAAGCAAAATGCTAACGTGATGCTATAAAGGAACTACAGCCGAGTCCAGCAGCACGACTTCAACGTCACGCCAACTTCAGATCCATATTCAAACACACAGATTCTAAATGGAACGAGTTGAAGCGTTTGTTTGAACACTTAGCAGGAGGCAGCTACTTGCTTTCAAGCAGAACAGGGCAAACTAACTTAGAGGAGTGTTCACGTGTTCGGCGTAATGACGTACAACGGCCTCCACGACTTCTGTAGTCCTATTCAGCCACTTGGTAACAACCATCGTTTTTCAGACACGTCAACTCTTCAGAAATCACCAGTGGGGTCACTGCTGATGGATTTAATGTCCTAGAACAAAACGTGATCCGTCTCTTCAATGTGTCTCAACCACAGACCTTATTTACAGATATTTCCCTAAACCCTATGGAGAGATCCCATTGGCTCTGAGACCAGGGAACAGGAAGTGGAGAAATGCTAACTCACTTCCGGGTTTTAGGACTCGTTCCTGCACCACTCTATTGACGTCACGGACTCACACGGAAGTTGTAGTACCGTAGTTTGGCCACTACGATAATTTGCTTAAACGGCTGCCGCTTATCCTGGGGTTTTGGTAAGAGACCTCTCCTCTTTTCTCTCTCTCCTTCTGTTCCTGAACCCTGAACAGGAAGTGGACCCTCTGAACCGGACTCTGAGCTTCCAGGAGGGGGAGGAGCTGAAGCTCAGGGATTGGTCAGAGGGGAGGAGGGGGTGGAGCCAGAGGGCTCCTCAGACTCTACTGGACGCCCTCGCCAACATGGAGGTGAACTCCATCCACAGCACGGCTGTCATCGAGGAACCAGGTGCAGTACACCTGTAATACAGCTGAAAATAATGGTATACTAGTTACTACTTGTTAATTGGTATACACTCAGTTAGTAAGTCAGTTAGTGGGTTAGTCATTAGGTTAGTTTGTGAGTAAGTCAGTTAGTTGTTACTGAGTTATTTTCTTAGTTAGTCATGCAGTTAGTAAGAACGTTGGTAGGTTTATTTGTTAGTCAGTCTGTTTGTTAATTAGTCAGTAAGTCAGTTAGTTAGTTACTTAGTTAAACTCAGTTATTAGTTAGTTGGTAGGTAAGTTTGTTTTTTAGTCAGTTAGTAGGTTAGTCAGTCAGTCAGTTAGTTACACTGAGTTAGTTAGTTAGCCAGTACGTAGGTTTGTCAGTAGGTTAGGATGTTTGTTAATCAGTCATTTAGTCAGTCAGTTGTTCGGTAAGTTAGTAGGTTTGTTTGTTTGTTAGTCAGTTAATTGGTAAGTTACAATCAATCAGTCGGTTACTTAGTTAGATGGTTAATTATTTAGATATTCAGTTAGTAAGTAAGTTAGTAGGTTTGTTTTTAGTTAGTGAGGTAGTTAGTTAATCAGTTAATTGGTAAGTTACACTCAGTTAGTTAATTAGTTAGTTAGTAAGTCAGTTAGTGGGTTATTTAGTTGGTTAGTTTTTTGTCAGTTTTTTTGTTAGTTTTAGAGCGGCTGAAGGCTCTGGACCCCTGCTGGTTAAACCAACCCAGTCTCACAAAACAACGTGTAATAGCTACGTTGGTCCACAGGGCAAAACGTAGCATATTCACAAATAACCCTCTCAAGACGTGACATGGATAAAATATTTGTTCCTATTCATTTCTAATGACCAGTGTCCATGTCACGTGATCGCTAACTTTCCCAGTGAGAAAAAAAACATGGCGGACACCCGATTTATTTTTAGTGGAAAATCCTAAATTGTAGAATAGTTTGGCGTTAAAATGCTTTTTGATTACATTTTTAGCGAGAAGTGTATATTGTACTTTCAGAATCTACTTCCAGTGGATGTGCAGGATCCATAGTTTGATAGATATTACGAAGATTATTTGAGCTCCATGTTTTTTTTTACAAAATATTGTATCCATGTCACGTCTTGAGAGGGTTATTTGTGAATATACTACGTTTTGGCCTGTGGACCAACGTAGCTATTACACGGTTTTTGTGAGACCGAGTAGGTTAAACAGAAAGGTGGAGTGTAGGTGGTGCAGTGAGGAGGATGGAAGGTTCAGGTTCAGGTTCTTTATTTGTACCCATAGGTAGATTTAGTTTGCAGATAAAAAGACAAGGGATCCATCCTGGAAGCAGAAGATCTGAGAGTGCGGGGGGGTTTGTTGATGTGCAGGAGGTCGGAGAGGACCGAACTGATATACTTAGTGTATGTCCCCCCAGGTGAAGAGGCAGCAGGTCGCAGACATTGGGTCGCTGCCCCCCCCTCCACACTGCTGATCGCCCTCTCTCAGGCACAACTCTCATCATCCACTATCAACTCTACTCTACTAGAAACTGCAGGTCAGACATCACATTTACCTGAATTAGTGGTGACACGTGCACAAGATAAATCACAATGATCCTTTCCATTTGCTTGTTCTGGATGTGTGTACAGTGCACATATAACTATAGTGATAATTCCTCATAAAATCAATAAATGCACCCGTACATGACTATCAGAAGATTGAGGTATTTTGTCGAGCAATGTGTTATTCAAAAGTCTCTCCTAGTGGATGATGTTGTTCACCATATGCTGTAAATTGTATCTTGTAAACAAAACATTTAGATTGATAATATTGCTATACAGATATTTATTTGGTGCTCTCCATGTAAAGTGTGTTGTACAGGCCTGTGACCAGCAGGTGGCGCAATACCACAGATGCTTTACCATGAAGAGTGCATGTAAACTCTGCATGTCAGTAATAAGCAGTGACGTGCGGTGAGGTTCATGGCTGGTGAGGCACTGACTCTTTCAGAGTCAGATTTACAAATATTATAGCCTATTTTGACCTTAATCGAAATATTCTGTTATTTTCAAAAGCTTTTTTAGTCTGATGCTATGATTAATTTTAAACAGACCGATCAACAAAAGGATACCCAAAATCTAAATATTGGATTGTTCTTTCTAAGTAAGATCCCATTTTCATTACAGTTGTGGTCTGACCTTGACTTGAAGATGAATATAAGTCCATGCTATCCTTCTGGACAACAATCTCTATTACTGTTTTGTAAAAGTCGTCCTTATCTTCCTGTAGTTTCAAAAGTCGAGTTTGTTGTTTGCGGTAGAATAACAGTAGCAACAAGAACCTGTGGGCTCACGTGCGCCCCCTTCAGTGCGGCAGAGGTTATGGCTGCCTCCCCTTGTGATTTTTTCATTGCCGTTGTATATGTGTAGCGAGCCTAAATATCATATATACGTGAAATAAGTTATTTAGAGACTATGGATGGCGAGGATAAATGTAATCAAGGGATCTACAAACATTACATTGGTGACCTACAGTGAGATGGGAACAGGCATGCGCTTAGGGCCCGCTTTCCAGACAGTTTCTGTGGGGTGACGCATTCTGAGGTGAGGCAGAGCTCATCTGTGCCTCACCTCACCCCACAGTAACTGGCTTGAGCGCGCTCACAAAATAAGTGGCCGCGCTAAATTAGTGCCCGTGCTCCAGCAAGTTACTGTGGGCTTACGTGAGGCAGAGCACATCCCTGCCTCACTTCTCATCGCTCCCGTAGCGGAGCTCGGCACATTTGCTGATTTTGACTATAAAATGCGATTGGAATGATACAGAAATCACATTTACACAAGATCAGTGGAGACATTTTATTATTATTATTATTTAGTTTTTCTTTAATTGTTTTTCCGTTACATTGGAGTATGACAGGTGAGGCTCTGCCTCCACTGACTGCACGTCGCTGGTAATAAGGAATACATGTATAACATGTTAAGCAAAGATACATTTTCCTTGAAAGAAATGTCTAACATTTTAAAATCTTACCACTCAGTGAACAACTTGAGTTCAACAGGAAGTCATCTTTCAAACACGTTCAGTTCAATACTTTACTCATCTGGTACTTCAGTAGAAGTAGAAGTACTCAGATCTTGTACTTGAGTAAAAGTAGAAGTACACAGATCTTGTACTTGAGTAAAAGTAGAAGTACTCAGATCTTGTACTTGAGTAAAAGTAGAAGTACTCAGGTCTTGTACTTGAGTAAAAGTAGAAGTACTCAGGTCTTGTACTTGAGTAAAAGTAGAAGTACACAGATCTTGTACTTGAGTAAAAGTAGAATTACACAGATCTTGTACTTGAGTAAAAGTAGAAGTACTCAGGTCTTGTACTTGAGTAAAAGTAGAAGTACTCAGATCTTGTACTTGAGTAAAAGTAGAAGTACTCAGATCTTGTACTTGAGTAAAAGTAGAAGTACTCAGATCTTGTACTTGAGTAAAAGTAGAAGTACCAGAGTGTAGGAATACTCTGTTACAGTAAAAGTCCTGCATTCAAAATGTTGCTCAAGTAAAAGTATAAAAGTATTCTCATCAAAATATAGTGAAAGTAGCGACAGTAAAAGTAGTCATTGTGCAGATTGGTCCATTTCAGAATAATATATATGATATGTTTTATAATGATTGATGATGAAAGTGTTCTCAAAGCTGGTAAAGGTGCAGCTAGTTTGAATGACTTTGTATACTGCAGGGTAGCTTGTGGATTTACTCCAGGTGGAACTAAAGTCTGATTTAACACTTGGTTATATTTCACATCATTCATCCACATCTGTGAAGTAACTAAAGGTATTTAAATACATGTAGTGGAGGAAAAGTACACCATGTACCTCTGAACTGTAGAGGAGTAGAAGTACACAGTAGCATAACATTGAAATACTCAAGTAAACTACAAGTATCTCACAATATAATTTATAAGTAAATGTACACCTCTGTCCACTGAACTGTGTTTTCTGTTAGATTCAGAGGAAGAGGAGGAGGAGGAGGAGGAGGAAGAGGAAGACTCTGATGTGGAAATGGATGAAGATGGTCTGGAGCCGCGGTCAGACGATGACGACACGTTAGTCGACTCCACTCCTTTTTATTTTGTGCTTTAGAGTTTCAGTGGATCTTGATAAGTTCAGTTATAAGTTAACAAAATCCACCATATCAGCGTATTGCAGCTCATCCCTTAAACTCATCCCTTAAACTCATCCCTTAAACTCATCTCTTAAACTCATCTCTTAAACTCATCCCTTAAACTCATCCCTTAAACTCATCTCTTAAACTCATCCCTTAAACTCATCCCTTAAACTCATCCCTTAAACTCATCTCTTAAACTCATCCCTTAAACTCATCCCTTAAACTCATCCCTTAAACTCATCCCTTAAACTCATCCCTTAAACTCATCCTTAAACTCATCCCTTAAACTCATCCCTTAAACTCATCCCTTAAACTCATCCCTTAAACTCATCTCTTAAACTCATCCCTTAAACTCATCCCTTAAACTCATCCCTTAAACTCATCTCTTAAACTCATCCCTTAAACTCATCCCTTAAACTCATCTCTTAAACTCATCCCTTAAACTCATCTCTGAATACTGTGTGGTATGTATTTAGTCCATCAGTTAGTTAAGTAGTTAGTTAGTTAGTCAGTCAGTCAGTTAGACAGTTAATTGGTTCGTTAAACTCAGTCAATTAGTTAGATAGTCAGTCAGTTTGTTAGCTAGTTAGTAGTTAGTTAGTTAGTCAGTCATTTAGACATTAATTGGTAAGTTAAACTCAGTCAGTTAGTTAGTTAGCTAGTCAGTTAGTTAGTTAGGTAGTCAGTTAGTTAGTTAGTTAGTTAGGTAGTCAGTTAGTTAGTCAGTCAGTTAGTTAGTTAGTTAGTTAGGTAGTCAGTTAGTTAGTTAGTTAGTTAGTTAGCTAGTCAGTTAGTTAGCTAGTCAGTTAGTTAGTTAGGTAGTCAGTTAGTTAGTTAGTTAGGTAGTCAGTTAGTTAGTCAGTCAGTTAGTTAGTTAGGTAGTCAGTTAGTTAGTTTGGTAGTCAGTTAGTTAGTTAGTTAGGTAGTCAGTTAGTTAGTCAGTCAGTTAGTTAGTTAGGTAGTCAGTTAGTTAGTTTGGTAGTCAGTTAGTTAGTTAGTTAGGTAGTCAGTCAGTTAGTTAGGTAGTCAGTTAGTTAGTTAGTTAGGTAGTCAGCCAGTTAGTTAGATAGTCGGTTAGTTACACTCACTCAGTTAGTTAGATAGTTAATTGGTTAGTTAAACTCAGTCAGTTAGTTAGGTAGTCAGTTAGTTAGGTAGTCAGTCAGTTAGTTAGTTAGTTAGGTAGTCAGTTAGTTAGTTAGGTAGTCAGTCAGTTAGTTTGGTAGTCAGTCAGTTAGTTTGGTAGTCAGTCAGTTAGTTTGGTAGTCAGTCAGTTAGTTTGGTAGTCAGTCAGTCAGTTAGTTTGGTAGTTCATTGGTTAGTTACACTCACTCAGTTAGTTAGGTAGTCAGTCAGTTAGTTAGTTAGTTAGGTAGTCAGTTAGTTAGTTAGGTATTCAGTCAGTTAGTTTGGTAGTCAGTCAGTTAGTTAGTTAGTTAGGTAGTCAGTTAGTTAGTTAGGTAGTCAGTCAGTTAGTTTGGTAGTTCATTGGTTAGTTACACTCACTCAGTTAGCTAGTCAGTCAGTTAGTTTGGTAGTCAGTCAGTCAGTTAGTTAGTTAGTTAGGTAGTCAGTTAGTTAGTTAGGTAGTCAGTCAGTTAGTTTGGTAGTCAGTCAGTTAGTTAGTTAGTTAGGTAGTCAGTTAGTTAGTTAGGTAGTCAGTCAGTTAGTTTGGTAGTTCATTGGTTAGTTACACTCACTCAGTTAGTTAGATAGTTAATTGGTTAGTTAAACTCAGTCAGTTAGTTAGCTAGTCAGTCAGTTAGTTTGGTAGTTAGTTAGTCAGTCAGTTAGTTAGTTAGTTAGTTAGTTAGTCAGTCAGTTAGTTAGGTAGTCAGTTAGTTAGTTAGTTAGTTAGGTAGTCAGTTAGGTAGTCAGTTAGTTAGTTAGTTAGTTAGTTAGTTAGGTAGTCAGTTAGTTAGTTAGTTAGTTAGTTAGCTAGTCAGTTAGTTAGGTAGTCAGTTAGTTAGTTAGTTAGTTAGGTAGTCAGTTAGGTAGTCAGTTAGTTAGTTAGTTAGTTAGTTAGTTAGGTAGTCAGTTAGTTAGTTAGTTAGTTAGTTAGTTAGTTAGTTAGGTAGTCAGTTAGTTAGTCAGTCAGTTAGTTAGCTAGTCAGTTAGTTAGTTAGTTAGTTAGTTAGTCAGTCAGTTAGTTAGGTAGTCAGTTAGTTAGTTAGTTAGTTAGGTAGTCAGTTAGGTAGTCAGTTAGTTAGTTAGGTAGTCAGTTAGTTAGGTAGTCAGTCAGTTAGTTAGGTAGTCAGTTAGTTAGTTAGGTAGTCAGTCAGTTAGTTAGGTAGTCAGTTAGGTCAGTCAGTTAGTAGTAGTCAGTTAGTTAGGTAGTCAGTTAGTTAGTTAGGTAGTCAGTCAGTTAGTTAGGTAGTCAGTCAGTTAGTTAGGTAGTCAGTCAGTTAGTTAGGTAGTCAGTTAGTTAGGTAGTCAGTCAGTTAGTTAGGTAGTCAGTTAGTTAGTTAGCTAGTCAGTTAGTTAGGTAGTCAGTTAGTTAGTTAGGTAGTCAGTTAGTTAGTTAGGTAGTCAGTCAGTTAGTTAGGTAGTCAGTTAGTTAGTTAGGTAGTCAGTCAGTTAGTTAGGTAGTCAGTTAGTTAGGTAGTCAGTTAGTTAGTTAGTTAGCTAGTCAGTCAGTTAGTTAGTTAGCTAGTCAGTTAGTTAGTTAGCTAGTCAGTTAGTTAGGTAGTCAGTTAGTTAGTTAGGTAGTCAGTTAGTTAGTTAGGTAGTCAGTCAGTTAGTTAGGTAGTCAGTTAGTTAGTTAGGTAGTCAGTCAGTTAGTTAGGTAGTCAGTTAGTTAGGTAGTCAGTTAGTTAGTTAGGTAGTCAGTCAGTTAGTTCGGTAGTCAGTTAGTTAGTTAGGTAGTCAGTCAGTTAGTTAGGTAGTCAGTTAGTTAGTTAGCTAGTCAGTCAGTTAGTTAGTTAGGTAGTCAGTCAGTTAGTTAGGTAGTCAGTTAGTTAGTTAGCTAGTCAGTCAGTTAGTTAGTTAGGTAGTCAGTTAGTTAGTCAGTCAGTTAGTTAGTTAGCTAGTCAGTCAGTTAGTTTGGTAGTCAGTCAGTTAGTTAGCTAGTCAGTTAGTTAGTTAGTTAGTTAGTCAGTCAGTTAGTTAGTTAGCTAGTCAGTTAGTTAGTTAGGTAGTCAGTTAGTTAGTTAGGTAGTCAGTTAGTTAGGTAGTCAGTTAGTCAGTTAGGTAGTCAGTTAGTTAGGTAGTCAGTCAGTTAGTTAGCTAGTCAGTCAGTTAGTTAGATAGTTAATTGGTTAGTTACACTCACTCAGTTAGTTAGTTAGTTAAATGGCTTGTTGAACTCAGTCAGTTAGTTAGATAGTTAAATGGCTTGTTGAACTCAGTCAGTTAGTTAGATAGTTAAATGGCTTGTTGAACTCAGTCAGTTAGTTAGATAGTCAGTCAGTTCAGACCCGGTGCTGTGGAAGGGCCAGGGAGGGCCAGGCCCTTCCATTTGATAATCCTGCCCTCCCCCAATAAACACGTTTTTTGTATTATTTATAAAATAAAAAAATTAAGTATTTATAGTTTTTTCAATTATAAATAAACTGTGAACTTTAATGCTACTATGTATGTGATGTCACTAATATAAGAGTAATACATGAAAAACAGGTATGAAATACTATATGACAGTAAAACAAGAATACAGTTTAAAAGGGGAGTGATTTGTAAAATATCCATAAAGAAAAAGTAAATCTGTTTACAGTTCTGTTTCATATGTTGAGAGATGTATCCATAGATCTCCTCATGTTGCTCTCACAGTGCACAAGATTGATGCTTTTAACTTCAATATTAAAAAAAAAAATCTTCCCGGGGGAGCATGCCCCCGGACCCCCCCTAGAGGAGGTGAGGACCCCCCTAGAGGAGGTGAGGACCCCCTAGAGGAGGTGAGGACCCCCCTAGAGGAGGTGAGGACCCCCTAGAGGAGGTGAGGACCCCCCTAGAGGAGGTGAGGTCCGCTCCCCACTTATAAAAATAGCACTTTACCCCTGCCTATATGCCGTGAGCTGATTATCGAGTGTACTGTGTGTTTGCGTGGGGAGTGTTGCAGTAGAACATTCCACTGTAGCGCCCGGTACCTTAATGGGAAACCCTACATGTTTGAGCACCCTCGAAACGTCAAGCTACCCCACAGCACCCCCAAAAGAAAAATCTCTGGCGTCGACACTGGCCGCGGCACATGGCGGTTTTGTGTGCCCTCCCATGAAAATCATATGCCCTCTCTGTAGATTTGTTCTGGCGCCGGGTCTGAGTCAGTTAGTTAGATAGACATTACTTGGTAAGTTAAACTCAGTCAGTTAGTTAGCTAGTCAGTCAGTTAGTTTTGTAGTTAGGTAGTTAATTGGTTAGTTACACTCAGTTAGTTATTTGATGAGTTAGTCAGTTAGTTAGGCAGTTAGTCATTTAGACATTAATTGGTAAGTTAAACTCAGTCAGTTAGTTAGCTAGTCAATTAGTTTGGTAGTTAGGTAGTTAATTGGTTAGTTACACTCAGTCAGTTAGTTAGATAGTTAATTGGTTAGTTTGGTAGTTAGGTAGTTAATTGGTTAGTTACACTCAGTTAATTATTTGATGAGTTAGTCGGTTAGTTAGTTAGGTAGTCAGTCAGTTAGTTAGACAGCTAATTGGTTAGTCAAACTCAGTCAGTTAGTTAGTTAGGTAGTTAATTGGTTAGTTAAACTCAGTCAGTTAGTTAGTTAATTGGTTAGTTAAACTCAGTCAGTTAGTTAGTTAATTGGTTAGTCAAACTCAGTCAGTTAGTTAGTTAGTTAGTTAATTGGTTAGTTAAACTCAGTTAGTTATTTGATGAGTCAGTCAGTTAGTAGGTTCTTTTTTTAGTCAATCAGTTAGTTGAGTAGTTAGTTAGTGAGTGAGTTATTTGGTTAGTTACAATCAGTTAGTTAAGCAGTCTGATGGTAGTCAGTGAGTTATTTGGTTAGTTACAATCAGTTAGTTAAGCAGTCTGATGGTAGTCAGTGAGTTAGATAGTAGTTTAGTTAGAGATGAAGTCTAGATAGCACTGTAGATCTTGTACCTTGAGCTCAACAGAACCATCGCCACCTTCCGACTGAGGGAGTGTCTCACTCTCCCGTTTCTCAACAGGAACTTCGAGGAGTCTGAGGACGAGCTGAGGGAGGCGGTGGCCGACTCCATGAACAATTTGTTTGTGATGGAGGACGAGGAGAAGTTAGAGGTGCATGATGGGGTGGAGGAGGAAGAAGAGGACTCTCAACAGATCCAGCAGGCGGTCGGGGATTCACCTGCAGACGCTGTTTCCTCCGAGCCTGAAGGAGGTGGTGGTCAGTCGGGCGAAAACACGACTTCAAACCAGCAGCAGACGATCTGAGCTCTCACTACTCCTCATTTCACTTCAATTCAGATAAAGCTGCCTCAAATAAATCACTGATTCTCAGCTTGAGTTAGGAGCAGTGAGTGTAATACTGTGCCTACGTGAAGATTGAGGTACTTCATTACATTACATGTTACTTGTTAGACGCTTTTATCCAAAGCGACTTACATACTCAATACTGTGGGCAATCCCCACTGGAGCACTTTGGGGTGAAGTGTCTCAGGGACACAACGACATGCTGACTGCAGTGGGGTTTGAACCTGTGACCCCCTGATCCCAACACCAACGCACTACCCACTGCGCCACACACCTCCACTTGTATATTTTCTTTTATGCCATTTGGTGTTTCTACTCCACTAAAATTCGAAGGGAAATATTATACTTTTTCCTTTACTACCTTCAGCGTTAGTTACTTTAATGAGACTTCTGCATAAAGAAACAAATAAATAAATGTCTGATGTATTTCAATACGATACAAATATGAACATTTGACTCGTTTTCGGTTATTATGATTAATTTAGTTTCGTGTTTTTGGATTTATTTTGGATTTTCCTGCATTGGTTACTTTTACTTTTAATACTTTAACTTCATTTTGCTGATTACAACTACTTTGACTTTAGTAACATGTTCAATGCAGGACTTGTTACAGAGTATTTCTACACTGTGGTACTTCAATCAGGAGAGACTGGTTTTGATGTAACTATATATATTTAGTGACAGAAATACACAGAGGAATGTAATGATGTTGTTAAGAATAGATTAAAAATACAAAACTATTTTAATTATAACTTCATACATTAAATAATATCTTGGAGACTTTCAATTAAGAAACTGTTAATTATATATTTTATTAAGTGATGTCATGACGACCGGACAGGTGAAGACAAGTACAGCCCTCAGCTTCGACAACGGCAGAAAAGTCATATTTTAAATGCCTGATTGATCTGTTTCATAGTTACATCCTGTCCTTTCCACCGTCTGTTTACCGTCTGCTGATTGTTTGTCACGTCATTATTGTCTGCACCTGGTGTCAGTACAAATAGGTCCAGCCATTCACTGTCTCGTTGCCAGATTGTCTTGAGTGTTATGCCGAGCTCTCCTGCGTTTTCATATCATCATCCAGTTACAGTAATAGTCATAGTCCACGTTTATAGAAATAGAAAGATCAGGTAGTAGGTATTAAGTATTTTTCTAGTGTTGGATAGGTAAGCTTTAGTGTAGATATTTATTGTCTGTATTTTCTGGATCTGCTGATCCTGTGTTTTTGGAATCACCGCATATCTGGATCTTGTATCAACAAATCAAGTAAAGACTCTTTTTGTACTTGAATCCTGTGTCTGCATCCGTGCTTTTGGGTCCGCACTTTGTACATCAGTGACAGAATGTTCAGAAAAAAGTCAGAATTTTCAGAATAAAGTCAGAATTTTCAGAATAAAGTCAGAACTTTCAGAAAAAAGTCAGAATTTTCAGAAAGTCAGAATTTTCAGAATAAAGTCAGAATTTTCAGAATAAAGTCAGAATTTTCAGAAAGAAGTCAGAATTTTCAGAAAGAAGTCAGAATTTTCAGAATAAAGTCAGAATTTTCAGAATAAAGTCAGAATTTTCAGAATAAAGTCAGAATTTTCAGAAAAAAGTCAGAATTTTCAGAATAAAGTCAGAATTTTCAGAATAAAGTCAGAATTTCCAGAAAAAAGTCAGAATTTTCAGAATAAAGTCAGAATTTTCAGAAAGTCAGAATTTCCAGAAAAAAGTCAGAATTTTCAGAATAAAGTCAGAATTTTCAGAAAAAAGTCAGAATTTCCAGAAAAAAGTCAGAATTTTCAGAATAAAGTCAGAATTTTCAGAATAAAGTCAGAATTTTCAGAAAAAAGTCAGAATTTCCAGAAAAAAGTCAGAATTTTCAGAATAAAGTCAGAATTTTCAGAAAAAAGTCAGAATTTCCAGAAAAAAGTCAGAATTTCCAGAAAAAAGTCAGAATTTTCAGAAAAAAGTCAGAATTTTCAGAATAAAGTCAGAATTTTCAGAATAAAGTCAGAATTTTCAGAATAAAGTCAGAATTTTCAGAAAAAAGTCAGAATTTCCAGAAAAAAGTCAGAATTTTCAGAATAAAGTCAGAATTTTCAGAAAAAAGTCAGAATTTCCAGAAAAAAGTCAGAATTTTCAGAATAAAGTCAGAACTTTCAGAAAAAAGTCAGAATTTTCAGAATAAAGTCAGAATTTTCGGAAAAAAGTAAGAAACTGTTGTGCGTCGTCAACTGTGTTAAATATTGTATGTTTAGTTTAGTTAATAAAAGTCCGAATCAAATATACAGTAGACTCATGCTGTAGTTCACCCCTGTGTAAATAGTGTTGTACATACTCTGCCTTGTATAAATCATTTGTTTAATTAAAGACTGTGTGTTAGCTGGGATTATTCTGGCTGTGCAGATATTCTAAAAGAAAAGGAGATTATTGAAGATTTCTTCATATAACACCGTATAGTGTTTTAAATCATGAGTGCACCAGGGTAATTGGCATATGCAGCTCTCCCCTAATGAGATATTTACTTCTGAGGATCGTTTTTGATAATATGTTGTACAAATGGAAAATGTTAATGACATTTCCAACCCTGATATTCATATGCATCTGATTCTAAATGTGATATCTAAAGACTATTCGTGCAGAGCTTCTCTGTAGTCGTGTGAGTCACTTCTAAAAGCTGCAGGGTTTACTGCACACGGAGAACAGCCCTCACAAGATGGACCAGGTTGTCAACACAGCACATACAGTACAATCAATTTCGTTCACATACCACCTGTCACTCAGGGTTCATTCAATTCTGCAAGGCGGCAACACTCCTTCAAACTGGGTGGGTCTCCTGTGGTTTTCAGAAAGCTAACATGCAAATCTCATGTTTGAAATATCTTTTCTAAATTCAAAGCAGTCGATGACAAAAGTCAGGGGTCACAATTAAAGAAATACTCTTTACTCTGTGTGACTGGCGAAGCCACACAGAGTATAGTATTCAACATACTTTTCTCATCTTATTCTCTTTCTTCAGCCACACATTTTGTACAAGTACAAGTACCTCAAAATGGAACTTTAGTACAGTATTTGAGTTACCCATCCAATACATCCACTTATGGACTAAGAGATTCTTTACAGCCAGCTCAATAGGCAAATACCTCTCAGGTTCACTAGGTGCCCTAATTACTTCGTATCAGTATCCAAATAATGGACATGATGTACATTTTACTCAACATGACCAAAACAAAGCGAGATCTTTCTAAATCTGAACGTTTCCTCAGGATGAATCAGTTCCTCTGGACATTTCCACCAGTTTGTCAGCAGCGACTCCCAGCTGTCTTGGCTTTAGAGTCCAGCAGCAACAGCGGCAGGTGTACATATGAACATTTACAAAAAGAGGATAACAAGTGAACCAACCCTGATAAAGTGAATCCATATATAAAACGTGTAAATGATGTCCCCACTCTGTGTGTGAATGGCATTTTGAACACGATATTTGCATATAAGCTTTCTGAAAGCCTCAGGAGAGCAGTTTAACAAGTACTGAAAGACAGGTGGCGTGTGAAGGAAATAATTGAGAATGAAGGATAAAGATCATTAAAAAGATGTTTGCTAACACTTTATATTGAGGTACACAAATTAACCATCGACTAGTTGTTCATTAACATGCATATTAGCAGTTTATTGGCTCTTTAGTAGTCATTATAAAACACTTATTAATGCCTTATTCTGCATGACCATATTCTACAAGTAATATGAGTTAGTTAGTTGAGAGTTTTTCCTCAATAACCCTCTGATTAGTGCTGATTGATTGCAAGTAAGGAAGTTGTTGTACATGAGTTTTGGTCTTAATATGCTGAATATGGGCCTGATAAGGCAGTAGTACCACAAGAAAAGTAATTCTCCCATAACGACATGAAAGTATAAGTGTTAATTGTGTCTAAATAACTCAAAATTAGGTATTTATATCTAAGAATATATATTTAAGCAATAGCTCACGACAGGCCGTGGTATATGGCCATTATATCACAGTTAAGGGGCGTGGTTCGGCCCGACGCGAAGCGGAGGGTCGACAACCCCCTTAGCTGTGATATAATGAGCATATACCACGGCCTGTCGTGAGCTATTGCTTTTATAAAACGGTTACCAAGTGTGGCAATATGAATGAAAAATACACACTCTAATTTAAATAGTTTTTATTAGTAAATAATGATGTTCAAAATAAAATAGTCCCTCCGTTGCCTTCTGCACAAAACATAGTGCGAGGTGGTTGCTATGCAACAACACTAACAGCTAGCGAACATATTAGACAGAGAGCGTTGATCCATTATTTGGCTATTTATTTACATTAATGTGTATGTTGCCGTTTATTGTGCACCCACTGAAAAACTGTCCATCATCAGTAGAATGGCTTACGTGGTTACTTGTATAGGCTGAGGTTGTTCTAGGCCAGGGGTGGGCATTTTACGGCCCGCGGGCCACATCCGGCCCGTTGGCCGGCCTTGGCCGGCCCGTGTGAGGTTGATCATAAATTATAACATAATGAAAAAAAACAGCAACCTTTTCAAAATAAAAGCAACACAGCTGTATTGCTTGCATGGCGTAAATACTTTTCTAACTGTGTTGCTTTTATTTTGAAAAGGGCGCTGCTGTTTTTTTTATTTATTTACGTAAACGCGCATGCCGTGAACAGCTACGAGTGATGCTGGCCGGCTAGTCCTCGAAATGTCCGCTAAGGGCAAAAAAAGAAAGATCGATACTGAATGCCGCGTTTTCAACAAGACATGGACCGCTAAGTATTTATTTACAGAAGTGAAAGGTAAAGCTGTGTGTTTAGTTTGTGGTGCGGAGTCGCTGTGTTCAAGGAGTACAATTTGAGTCGCCACTATGCTACCAAACACGCAGATAAATACAAGAACCTGTCTGAGGAAGAGCGGGCAAAAGGGGTCGGATGCTTTGCTAGCTAAGCTGCAAAGCCAACAACACATTTTCACAAAACATTCCACATCCAGAGATGCAGCTGTCAAGACTAGTTATGTCTTAAAAGTAAACCGTTTTCGGACGGAGAGTTCATTAAGGAGTGTTTGTTGGACTCTGCCGCACTAATATGCCCGGAGAAAAAGGAGGCATTTGAGAAAGTGCCGCTCTCGCGACGCACTGTTACGAGGAGAATTGAGGACATCGCGGGAAATCTGGAGCTTCAGCTGCAGAACAGAGCGGTCAACTTTGACTTTTTTTCCTTGGCTTTGGATGAGAGCTGCGATGTACGTGACACTGCCCAGCTACTCATCTTCCTACGTGGGATAACTACAGACTTCAAAATCACGGAGGAGCTGGCAGCCATGCAGTCAATGAAAGGGACAACAACAGGGAGTGATTTGTTCACGGAGGTAAATGCATGTGTGGAAAAGTTGGGACTGAAATGGGACAAGCTGGCAGGCGTGACAACGGATGGTTGTCCAAATCTGACAGGGAAAAATGTTGGACTATTGAAGAGAATGCAGGATAAAGTGACAGAAATTAACCCTGAGCAGAAATTGGTATTTTTGCATTGTATTATACATCAGGAAGTGTTGTGTAAGTCAGTGTTAAAAATTAACCATGTTGTTGATGTTGTAACTAAAATAGTTAACTTCATCAGGGCAAGAGCATTGAATCACAGACAGTTTGTTGCACTTTTGGAGGAAAGTGAGACTGAACATCGTGACATACCCTACCATGCAGCTGTCAGGTGGCTCAGCCTGGGCAAAGTGCTGAAAAGAGTATGGGACCTGAGAGAAGAGATTCAAGACTTCTGTGTGAAGAAAGGAAACGACATCCCACAGCTTTCAGATGCAGACTGGATGGCAGACCTTGGTTTTGCTGTAGATGTGACTGCACTAATGAGTGAACTAAATGTCAAACTGCAAGGCAAGGGCCTTTTTGTGCATGACATGTACAGTGCAGTGAAGGCTTTCATGAGAAAGCTGCAGCTTCTCTCAAGCCAAATGGAGGACAACATTCTCACGCACTTGCCAACACTGAAGGAAGCCACACCATCAGCTGATCACCTCCAGAGGTACTCATCCATGTTAGAAGCACTGCATGGTGAGTTTTCAAGGCGATTTAAAGACTTCAAAACAGTTGAGAATAAAATGAACATGATCTTTTCCCCATTTACATGCCATGTGGATGATGCACCCAGTGATGTTCAGCTTTAACTCATTGACCTGCAGTCTGACACACTTCTGTCAGAGCACTTTAGGTCAGTCTCACTGCCTGAGTTTTACTCTTCCCTGAAAGAGGAGAACTTTCCACACATCAGGAGACGTGCTCAGAAGATGAGGGTCCTCTTTGGATCTACCTACATATGTGAACAGACATTCTCAGTGATGAAGTTCAACAAATCCAGATACAGATCCTC